AAAAAAAAAAAGAAGTGGATTGCTCTGTTTCATCAATGACATAGATTATTATTTACCATAAATAGTATTTCAAATACGAAATATAAAAATTCATTTGTGAAATTAATATTCTTTATTAAATGAATATGAATATTTAGTTGTGACCATGAAATATGAGGTTTGTAGATAGATAAATATGGATAAAAAATATTTAACAATTAAGTTCGCATGACTTTTTAGAAAAAATTCAAAACAATTTAAATCGAATAAATGATTGACCAAATTTTTGTAACTAAATTTACACGTTTGAACGCAAAAACTTAAGGAAATGATTTACCGGATAGTTTTGGAAGCAAGATTTTTAAGATTCATTCTCGGCCAGATTTACTTGTAGCATTTAAAGAAATCATTGCCCATATTTTTAAGAATTATGGTTTACACAATATATTTCTCAATTTACAGTTTTTTTCCTTGAATTTGAATTCGAATTTTAATTTAATCGCCATTTTTCAAAAAAAAATAAAAAATAAAAAAATAGTAACTTTGAAATTTTTAAATGAAAATTTTAATACTATTTCAAGTAAATCCATCCTTTTGTTATATAGTAATAGATTTTGTTTTATTTTTTATATGAGGTAGTGTTTTCAGTTTGATCTAGTTCCCTTAATTAATTCTTTCAAACTGCATTTCCAATTTGAAAGTTAGATTAAGCCAAATTTATGTGTGATCCTAATGTAATCAATTTTTTTCCCCCCTTTTTCCATGTTTATTTGTTTATCTTTTCTCATATTTATTTCTTTTGATAATTTTCCTTTTTATTGTCATTCAATTTCTTGACATGTTGAATGTTATTCCCATTTTGTGTTGATTACATGCTAACAGTGCGTACCATGTGCAGTGAATGAGAATACAATAATTATAAATTAAAGAGGTGAGTAACTAATATGAAATAGTAATAATAAATAAAAAATGTGGGTTTGATATGTGATATAATTTACTTATATCAGTTTGTTGTAAATGACATAAAATTATCTTGTATAAAATAACTTCAAACATGTACGTTTAAAATATTTAAAACACTTAAACTATTATATAACATGTGTAAGATTATCTAAAATATTATATAACATACATAACAATATCTAAATTATTCTATATTATGCTTAAAAAATGTGAAATCACCTAAAAAAATTTTAAACTATTTTGTAAAGAAAATCCACCCGATATATAATTGCAGAATACGTTGAGCCTAAGTGGCATGCTCTCACGCTTCGGAATCCTATGTGGCAAAAAACCGTGCCACAGAGTCAGACTTGGATATAAATTAATATTTATTTATAAATAAGTAGGTTTGAATTCAATTTAATATCAATATCATTAGTATTAAATCTTAATTGATATCTTCCTTCTTTTATTCTACCATTATTTACCATAAACTATTATAAGTTTCTTTTTCCTACATTACTATATATTAAATTTTATTTTCTTATTTAATTCATACATCAATTGTTATAAATGTTTATTCTTTTTATTTTTAAAACTTTATAACTTTTTTGGCTTGTATTTTAATTTTATTTATGATATATCAAATTATTTATCTTTTGACGATATTCGATTTGACATCCATATTATATATACAAATTATAAAACAAAGATATATAATCTTATAAATAAAGTACTAAATCTATCAATATATAATAAGGATTAACATAATTTATTTTTAGAAACTCTTTCCCGCGATTAGCATTAAATACACCCTATTTATAATAATTTTTTATCAAAAAAATATCTAACATTAATGATGCAAAGAACTTCCTTAATAATCTTATGGAAACAAACAATTTACTCCCTTAAATATCGCATGCTAAGATTTATATCTAATTTCTTTCCGATTCTTCCAAATTCTTCCAAATAAAATGGGTTATGCATGAAATCAACCAAATTACCAACTATTTTTATAATTTTGCCGAATTAATAAGATTAAGGCCGGTTGAACATGGTATAATGTAATTTAATTTACTAATTTAATATAATTTTGCCAAATGATATAATACCGGTTTTACATAGTATAATATAAATTAATAATTTAATAATTCTTTCAAATAATATAATAAAATATTATAAATTTAATAATATAATAATATAGTTCTTTCAAATAAAACCGGTTGTACATGGTATCAATACTATATATTTATGTATAAAATAAGATTAAATTATTTTTAGTAATCTCTTCCCGTCATGCATTAATTATTACTTAATTTTAGTATTCTTTAACAATTCGGGATAGCATATCTCGGCGCATTAATTGTCAACTGATATGGAATAACCGATTTAATAGTTGATGGATTCAATTCCCCTTTTTTATGGAATCAAATATCGGGTGTATACACGTTTCAAATAATTTAATAATAATATAATAATAGGCTGAATGATTTATGCGTTGGATTCATGCAAAGAAAATTTTGAACAGATTTCTAAAATCATGGTTTGTATATATCATCTATTCATTAATTGAATTTTTTTTCTACACTATTGGTTTGAAAAGGAAAACGAATTTTATATACCTTATCAGATTTTTATAATCTATTAATATATAATAAGGATTAACATAATTCACTTTTAGAAACACTTTCCCGCCAACTTCATTAATTATTGCCTAAACATATTAAATTAACAAAATTGCTATTTATAATTAGCATATCTATTTTTCCCCATTTTGTTTTTAGGAATACATCAAAAAATATAGAATCAAAATCCAAATAAATCTCCTCTTTTTGTCGCTAGATATAAATATCTTCTTTTGAAGGTCGCATATCCTGTGTTTATTAAGAAGTCTACCAAAAAAAGAAAAAAAAAAGATTAAGCTAAATTGGTTAACAGATTCGTTGATTACATTTCAAAATGAGATCAACCTTTTATTTTTGGTTAATTTGTTTTAAATGATTTTTGAGAAGTAGATTGAATTTTTAGTTAATTGCTTTTGGAAAAAATCTGATACATGATCCTTTTTTTTTATGTCATAGCAATTTTTGTTGTCAAAAATTAATTTACATGGTGTGCTATTCATATTTATCATTTGGAAAACTGCTTGCTATTCATATTATGATTTGAAAAACTAAATCTATTGTATAATGAAACAAAATAATTTCAAAA